ATCAATGAAAGTAAATTATAACTACATGAAGTAACAAGACAGGATTTTACATACATAGTTCTTGTGAGAGAAGCCAGATACAGAAGAATATATATTGTGTGATTCTTTGATACACTTTTCAATAGGAAAGAGTGTGCCATGAAATGGAGAGTTGTAGTTCTCTTGGGAGAGTGATTGTTTAGCTAGGATAAGACCTGAGATGTCTTTCTAGTGGGATGACTGTATTAATCTGAAACTGTGTTCACCTTTCATTTTTATACTTACAAAATTTCCACTTTTTTTCCTGATGTAAGGTTTATTTCAAAGGAATGTTGACAAATATTCCACTGTTTTAGTTTGTACAGTCTGAGTGAAGCTGGTCAATACTGTGACCTGAGGTCTCTCTTAATTCAGCCTTGTAGAGGTGAATGACCTGCCCAAGGTCACAGCAGTGGAGATGCGATACAAGAAGCCGTGCTCAGAGTGCTGTATGCGGTGAGTCAGCATGGGCCCAGCATCCGCCCTTCAAAACTTATTGAGAATTAACTTGAGGAAACCAAGGTCACATTCCAGACTTGAACCTACACTGATATTTGCACCAGCACCTGAATATCCTTGCTGCCTTCTGTCATCAGAGAGGGACCCAGTTGCATGCTTGTTAGAAGAGCCACGAAAATGCCAAGGGCCTTTTGAGTGTCAGCAAGGGCACAGAAGTCAGCTCCCAGACTGGATGGTCTCAGCATCCTTTGTTCCTCTGTGCCTAGCATGTACCACTGTCACCGTGTAGAAGGCACAGCCTCATCTGAGGCTTTGAACAGTCAACACCACTCTCCAGCTTGGTAACTTGCTGGAGAATTATTGAACTTCACTTAATTCTCATTTTTTCTTATCTGTAAAATAATCATAGAATCTACCTGAATTGTAAGGTCTCCACCCTTCCCGAATACAACAGCTTAAAAAAAAAAAAGAACATGATTTTTCAGAGTGCCAAAATTAATATACAAAGCACTATTAAGACTGTCCAAGGACAAACCCATTTAACCTTGTCTAAGAGGAAGTTTCATTTTTAACTGTTACTTTATAATGAAGAAAATAGGAATCGGAGGATATCTGGAGCCTGATCTGTTGTGACAATGACAAAGCCTGGCAACTGTCACTGGATCTGTCCACACATGAAACTGAACAGAAATTAATCCCCAACCCCTGTTTTTTTTTAATACATACATACATACATATTCAAAGAGCTTTGAATTGGAGCTGAAGCCTGGCAGCCCAAACACTGGAATTCTGGGCAGGGGGCATAGCTCAGTGGTAGAGTGCTTACTTAGCATGTACAAGGCCCTGGGTTCCATTCCAGCACTACAGAAATAAAACAAACACAAAGCAATGCAAAGCCACCCAGCTTCAATGACTCAGGAAACAGCTTTCACTTCCATGAGCACTGGGTTGGGAAGCGCTTCTTAGTTTTTTCCTAGGCTGATGAATTTTCTATTCCCTATGCATTTTTTTTCTCCTGAGACAGGGTTTTTCTGTGTAACAGCCCTGGCTGTCCTGGAACTAACTTTGTAGACCAGGCTGGCCTCAAACTCAGAGACCTGGCTGTCTTTGCCTACCGAGTGCTGCGATTAAAGGCATGCACCACCAAACCTGACTTCTACGCATCTTGATACTTGCTACAAACAGAAAATAATTTCAATGCTTGTCCTAAAATTTTGTGGAAAAGGTTTTAAATAAATATTTTAAACAGAGATTTCAAAGAATAAGTCAGCTCTATCTTTTTTATGCATGCATGCTCACACCTCCTGTCTGTGAGTCCCCTTTGTGCCTTTGTCCTGGGCACACCTACCTCACCTCTACTGCACTCTAATGAGGGCACCATTGAATGTGACCTGGCATAAATACCCCAAATCCACCCAGAACCAACTCAGTTTTTCCATGGTAGCAAGCTATACTTTTTGTCATCTTGTCTGCTAGATGATGCTGAATTTCCTCCAGATGGAAAAGTGATGATGGCAATGTGGTCACCAGCGATAGAGCTGAGAAAATATAATCCCTCCTTTATATGAGGTACTTTTCTACAAAGGCAGATGAAAACTGTATCTGATACAGAAGTCATTTGACCAATAAGCACATTTGGAAAAGACTGACAGATTCACAGTATCAAGTAAGATCTGTTTTCATTTCATTTCGACTTCCTATTATATGCTCACATCCCAAAGCTCAGTTGATATTCAAGGGGCAACCAGGTTTGTTTAAGTCATTTACAAAAAATGAATTAAATGAAAAGGTTAAATTTAACGAGCCAACATTTTGCTCTCGATGCAAAGGATTAGCAGAATTGGGGAATAACATTAAAATCCATTACTACAATATGTGCCCTACATATTGGAAACATTAGGTTTTAAAAACAATCCATAAACACCACTGTTAATCTTGGAAGGCACAGTATTCAGTAGGTTGAAAGATTTAGTGTTCCAGTAATAGGGGTTTGGAATTCCAAAACACAGAGAAATTGTCATTTTTGTTTTGTTTAGCTTGGTTTTATTCCAGGAAGTTAGGAGACACTGAGCCAGACGGCATAGATGACACGCCATGATGTGAGATCTTCCTCTGTGTGAGACAGGAAATGCCCTCAGCCCCTGCGCATGACTCCCTGCAATGCTTGCTCTTTTATTGGCACATCCATTTGTTTCTCTCTGTTTATTCTATGGATTCTGCATAGATGAGACAGGGAAGAAACCACAGCTACAGGACAATGCAGCACAGCACAAGTTAGTGTCACGTTGTCCAGGAACCATGAAAACACACATAAACTATTTTATGAGAAGACACTTAGTATAAACTGATCGTGCCGCAGCAGCTTCACAAAGGACCTAATAAAAAACTATTGCACACAGATGCACACGTACACATACACTTATATATGGCTTTTCCCATGTGATGTCATTTGGTGTGTGTGGGGTGGGGGGTGTTACAGTTGTATGTCACCACACCCAGTGTAGCACAAATGGTTCCTGTTCCTCTTATGCATCTATGCATGACATTTCATAAAGAAATGTCTGACTTTTGGCTTCTGGTGGGTTATTTTCTATGAAGTTATAGATATATGAGAAAATAGGTCAAGAAATGGGATTCTTCATGTATAAAATAAGTACTCATCTTTGTTTTGAAGATGGCACATTGTTTAGTGGACTATGAGGCGATGTTCATAGTTTTACAGGTACATAAATATAAATGAAATTATCAATGAAAAAAAAAAACAACAGCAACTGGAGAATTCCTGCCCGTGACTACTTAGATAATAATGACATCCAAGTTGCATCTAAACCTTCATGAAAGATACAAAATCATTTACAAGACAATTACCCTTAAATTTGTAATTTAAATTTAAAATACACCATAAATAATAGGGGAAAATAGTCATTTGGCAAAATATAGTTGGATATCATAAAAGCTAGAATTGTCAAACAGCCCTTCTCTTATTAAATTCTGTGGACCTTACATTACAAGACAGAGTTGTCTAAGTGACAAAACACTGATGACAAATTCAAAAGCATAAAGGTTTTAGGGCTAAATCTCTTGCACCTTTCTGACATTAGGCTTGGGTCTGCATTTTTAATGCTCTTGGAAGAATCATGGTAAAAATAGGATACCTTAAAAAAAATCCCTGTTTTCAGACATAAGCATTCATTCTCACAGAATTATTAACTTTCCCACATGTCTGTCAATTTTCAAGGAAAAAAAGAAAAGACCAAGAATCTGAAAAACAACGTGTCAACATCTGTGATTCAGAGACAGAACAAATATACCCAGCTCCCAGAATAACCCGAGGCTGACCCAATTGAGGCTTAAATGAGAGGCTTTCGAAGACTATGGTTGCTTCACAGTAGCTTTCTGTGGATTCTCTCAAAAGGGAACAAGACCCAAGACTGGTCTTCATAGCTCAAAGCTCTTCTGTTATTGGGGGCGGGGATGGGGTGTGAGCATCATCAAGCTACAATCCAGATTGACCAGTCTAATAAACAGCCTTCTCTGAAATGAGCACTTCAGGAAACTTAGAGAAGACCTACACCTGTCATATATTGCAAATAGTTAAATTAAAGCAATGGTAGAGGATTAGACACACAGCCAATCCTACTCAACCTCTACAGGTCAGTCTGTACTACCCTTGAACAAACTACAGAGATGTTTGTTTGTGCAACAGGCAACACCATCCTCCACTTCCCTACTGCCCACTCCCACCTGTGCTTCCTGGAAGTCTTACATTCAGGTGGGGAGCACTAAGTGGCCTACCCAAGAGGGAGGTACCAAAAGAGTGCAGCAACTAAGGACAATACATCAGGACACCCAGAAAGGTTGGATTTCATGCAGGTGTAAATTTGCTGCTTCTTAAGGGTCCATAGGACAGTTTCTCAGAGGAATGAGTAAAAAGGCAGGGTCCCTGGACAAATTAATAGTTCTGAGTATTGTATTGACATTAGCTTACCAAATAACAAAAGTTGGTAGGACCAAAGCTCGAATATAAACAAGTTCATAGTGTGTTGTTTATAGTTTCTGAGAATTAAGATCTAATCTGTAGCTTTCCCCATCCAAAGGTGCAAAATGAATATTATTTTGGGAAAGGAGGGTTTACCTATCCAAAACTCAAACAGGGTAGCTATGGAAACACTTTTTTTTTCCAAGTTTGTCATACAAGCAAGAAGACCTGGATTCAGATCCCAGAGTGATGGATCTCCAGAATCCATGTAATATTGGCATGACAAGTCTTAGTCCAGCCTGGTAATGTGAAGACAGAATCCCCAGAACAAGCTGGCCACTGACATTAGTACAATAGGTGAGCTCTGGGTTTGGTTGAGAGACCCGCCTTAAAGAATAAGGTAGAGGCTGGGTGGTGTCGTTGCACACCTTTAACCCCAGCACTTGGGAGGCAGAGGCAGGCAGATCTCTGTGAGTTCGAGGCCAGCCTGGTCTACAGAGAGAGTTCAGGTCAGGTTCCAGAGCTACACAGAGAAACCCTGTGGGAGGGGCAGGGGGAAGAATAAGGTAGAAAAGCTGGGAGAAACCTTGGGCCTCTACACACGTGCACATATCTACACACGTGCACATATGCATAGGCATCTGAACACACACATGAGGAGCCACTCACCCACAAACAAACACACATACATATCACATACTCATACATGTGCTACCATGCATAGCAACACACACACACACACACACACACACACACACACACACACACATGATGCATGCATTTGTAGAGTACATTGTGATAATCTGATGCTTATGTCCAGTTTCATAAAAACAAATCAAAACAAATCAGGGTGATTAGCAGTCCTATATCTTTAAATATTTATCATTGGCAGGGAGGGTAGATGTTGGGAATCGTTGAGTTTCCCTTTACTCATAATCTATAAAGAACACAACGTAAGTTGTGACCTGGTCTCCCACTCTGCTGGAGAATGCTGCCCTTTGTATGGCATTGAGAAAATGACCTTGCTCGGATTCCAGAAGTGTGCTTTGAGAACAGGTGCAAGGAGGTTGGTGTTCTCTTGGTGCTGATCTTCATTTTGTGTTTCTCCAGCTTCACACAGAAGTAACTGAGGACATAGAGTGTTTCAGAAAGCAAACAACTTGATCTCGGGGAAGTCTGCAGTTTCAAGGAATGAAACAAACATCATCTTGGGAAAGGAGACTTGTCTAAACAAGTGCAATCTGCTGTTTTAAAGGGAAAGGACTTGTTGGTGCAGGTGAGGCTGAGCTCCCTTCATCTGAAAGCACCACCCTATCCCAGTGAGATGCTGAGTGAGCCACACCATGGTCACATGCTTCCTCCATACCCTCCTCTTTCTACTGACTGGCTACCAAAGCCCTGTGACCGAGTGGCCTTGTATTGGGACTAGGGTTAGGAACAAGGGAAGAAACTTCACAGGTGTGGTTTATTGTTTTCTGGTTTTGTTTGTTTGTTTGTTTGTTTTCCTTAAAAACTTCCAAAGGTAGAATGAGAGGCTAAGCGTTACGTAAGTAATTCACAAGTCAGACGCTCTGGAAGTTGCTGGAAGCTTTGCAGATTCGATGTATGTGATGAAGTACATCCTTCCCTTTTCACTCTTTTAAAGTTGCCTCTTGAGTCTCCCTCCCACTTGAAAGTGTCCCCTGCTAGATTCTGAAGTTATGATCCTACATCAGACTGCTGTGGCTGGGAAAGATGGCTGGAACATGAAGGTGTCCAGCTGTATGACCAGGTGAAGCACAATAGCAGAAGATAATTGCATAGTGTAAGCAAGCTTGTAGTGGAGAGGACTCATCAGGGCAAACGAGTCTCCAACTCTTTAAACCACTGTACTTATTCATAGCCTTACTGGTTTTGAACATAGAAAGTCTCACACCTGTAGGTCAGAGAAAACACACAGGGGCAAACTCCAGTTCTCATCATAATCCACTTGAGAGGGCAGAGAATAGGAATGTAGAGGCGGGGAGGAGGAGAGACAAACCCTGTTCCATACACTATTTGAGACTCAAGGTATTTCCTTCCAGGTAGGGGTCAGCAAACCACAGGCTAGATACAGCCTGATTCTAGGAACTAAGACTTTAACAAAAATTTAAATATATCTATTATATTTAAAAATAAATGTTTTAACAGGAAAAAGGAGGAGGAAGAAGAGAGAGATTTCTGTCGTTAGTTGATAATTCCTAAAATATTTTCTATCTAGCCTTTTACAGGAAAGCATGCTGCCCCTTGATATCATCGCAGTCTCCAAAGTCTTTGAAATGAGGTCCCTGGCAAGCCTCTGTGGAGGAGAGAAGAAAGAGCATGTGGAATGTGAGAAACAGCCTTTCAAGAAGCCTGTGTCTCTGATGGGAATAACTCAATCATTTACCTGACAGGGAAGACAAGAAATAGAGCTGGGCTCTGAGCTTAGGAGGAAAGCGATCTGGGTGGCAAAGATGTGGGTGTTGCAAGGGGCATAGGTTGACTGCTTCCAGAATCGGGCTGTTGTTGAGTTCAGGAATGGGCCAGGGCACATCAGATTGGGGTTACCACAGTGGCTTCTCAGAAGAGGTTGGACTGTGGTGGCTGATCAGAGAGAGGCTGAAGGTTAGAGGAAGGCGATAACCACAGCACAAAGGTAGGAAATACAAGGTCATCAGGGAATCATACTTCATAAGGAAAAGGCCTCATGGGGAAGCTATGACAGATATGTTTAGCGGGAAAGATTGGGTTCAGATGGCAAAAACGCCTTGACTGTCAAGCCTGCACACACAGATACCAACTTTTAAATAAATCCTTTAACCAAGGATATTGTTTCCTAATTTTTACTTTTCCTTATGTAACTGTTATGATATGGTGGCCTTGTCTGTATATCTGCCTCTTTAGTGATTCTGTTGGCACCTCTGGCTAAAGCCTGTCCTCTGAAAGGTGTGCTCAAATGTTGAGAAATCACAAAATCAGAGAAATAAATTCTTTGAAAATAATCAAAATTACAAACAAAACATGTAAAGGACCATGTGATGACATTAATAGTAAATTGAAAGAGTCGTATAAGGTCGAGTGCTCAGACGCTTGCTACCAGAGTAAGTATGGCTGTCAGTATTTGTGATACCCTCTGACACTGAGTAGCTGTGTTTCTCCATCTTCTATTCCTGCTTGTGAGAAAATAGCAATCCTGGTATATCATCTGTGTGTAGGTTCCTGAAAACAGCTTGTTTACCATGGTCTGCTTTTATCATACAGGTGAAACCATATACCTGTATTATTTGTCTGTCACTTAAGTCTGTGTCCTGGCTGTTTTTGAGTTCCATTTAAGCTTTGGTTTGCAGCAGCCTACCACATATGAAGCACTGTAGTCTTAACAGGCATTCTTTTTTTTTTTTCTAAATTGCAGACAATTTCTCTATTTCAAAGAAGACGTTCAAATTAATGTTGAAACAAGCAATTCAGGAAGTGATATGCTTGTTATAAATGTCCTGCTTTGTTTGTAGGCCTTTCAAAGGCTAGTATATCTTGCCTTGGAACTCTTTGTTCTTAAGGGAGTATAAGAGCCAGCTTATCACACTGAGTTCACTTTGACTTGCCATGACATTCACCTACACTCTTTTCAGCAGTTTGTTTTCACAAACCACCAGTTCCGGCTTGTGACCAAAGAGTTCCAGTTCCTATACACCCTGTCCTTCGCCCTGAGTCTATTAGCTAAGATCCTTCAGGGGACCTCTAATGGCCCCAGGTTCCACTTCAGGACAGTTGAGCAAGACCCTTCACAGAACTGTGTACAACTCGAGCTCCGGACAACACAGACCTTGGATTTTATAACCCGGTCCTTCTGGACATAAAGTGACTTTGACGGTCAGTGGTAATTCTGTTATCCATCACTCTTAGCTTTGGCACTTGGGTATATTAAATGGCCAGCTTCATAAATAAAATCCTACTCAAGATGAATCTAGGGGACCTGACTCTGTTCCCACTGACGGATCCATTCCCTCACCCATCCAGGAAAGCTTGAAGACTCTGATACAGGATGTGAGACTTAGGTATATGGTTTCAATGGAGAAACATAACTGCTTAAAATTCCTTTAATCAAGCATGATTTTCAGGAGTATTGACAATCATTCCATCCGTGACTGCCAAAAAGGGAAAGAAACTCAGAGACTAGGGGAGCAATTTGCTTCTCTGGCATTTCCTTGAGTTCCTTTCCTTTTTGTTGTGTACTTCACAGGCAGGCTTCAGTTCTGAATAATAACCATACTCTTGCCTCCCCTTGAGAACAACCTGACTTGCAAAAAACCTCATTTTTAGAAGCATCTCTTTAAAGCAATCAGTCCCATAAATTATACATGTTGCCTTGCATTTTCCAATAGGTAGTCGACAGCAGTCCCCATGGATACTCATTTTCATATTAAAGTGGAAGAAACCCAGAAGCACCCCCCCAATCCCTGCAACTAAAAGGCAGAGACACCCTTCCTTTGGAAAACCTGTTCATTCCTACAGGGAAGTTTTGTTCCTCTTTCCAGAGGCACCGTTTTAGGCTTGTGCAATCATTTCAGCACACCGATGCTTTCTAAGTGATAAAAAAAAAATACATATATATGAAATTAAGCCTGCAGTTAAAGTTTATTGAAAATATAGGTTGCTGTAATTTTGTTGATGATAGAAGTAGAGAAGTAGAAATGATTGGATTCTGCAGCTGCATTCAGATCACATGAACCATGGCTTTGGGGGTACACAAGGATGCTAGAGCACACAGCTGGTATCCACCTCCTGCCCCCCCCACGCCTCAGCTTGTTGAGTGTAATAAGAGAAGAAGAGAATCAGAACACTCACATTATTTCTTTTTACCCTCATTATTGTTGTTGGGGGGGGAAACCTATCATATATGACCGATCAACAAACACCATCAATATGAGACATTCTGGCTGCCTTTATTATAAAATCAGTTGCATTGTGGCTTTGATGCAGTGGCCCACCTACCACCTCCCACAGGCTTTGAAAGACAATTATGAAAAGAAATACCCTTAGAGAGATATCTAGTCCGCCACTATTTGGGAGGGAAAAGGGTCGCCTTACCACCATGAATCTGCCATCCACCTCATAAATATTTGTAAAGTACCTTTCAAATCCACCATACAGAATCTACGAGGCTTCTAGATCCCTTTGGAGAAGCCCAGTCCAATCTCTCTTGGCTTTGGTAAATCAACTTGTGTTTAAACTCTCTGTGTCTCTCAGGTGAACATTTTCATTTGAGAAGACGAGGAATAAGTGGTGCTGCCCATGTAACAAGTCAACAAATTAAGTCATCTTCATTTTTTTAACCATATGTTTTATTAGCATAAATATTCTCTACCCTTCACCTGTGTATAAAATTATTAACAATTTTCATCGATGAAATAACAGAGAAGCAGAAAACCTCTGAAATTGTACAATATCAAGCCTTGTTCCTTTATTTTTAGCCACAAATTATAGTATGTAATCACCAAAAAAATGATTTTTTTAAAAAATGCTAGAAGGGAAATAAAGAAAGGCAGAGAGAAAAGAGAAGGAAAGAGGAGATGGGTGAAGAAAGACAGAGGGAGAACACAGAAGTAAAGAAAAAAGGCAATGAGAATTGAAGAAGTGCTTCCATTATGAGTTTTAAATAGGAAATCCCCATTAGGGTAGAATATTATAAACTAGTATGAAAACAGAATATACAACAGAAAAATTTGTCACCTGACAAACGTGTAGGTCCTGAGACCAGCAAACTATGGCTACAATTTTGCCAACATTTACCATGAGAAATGGAGAATTCAGAAGAGGCATGTAACCTTCCTGAACAGAGGTAGATTAGCTCCATTGACAGGGTAAAAAAGTAAACACATCAAGGGGCTGGTCCGGAAGTTGGATGCTTCTGTTGGAATCCAGTTGTACCACTTTGACCTGCTGACCTTGGCTATGTTGTATAATTTATTTACTTTCCTTTCCTCATATGGGAACCAATGGTAGAGAATCCAGCAAACCTACCCATCTTGCAGGGTTACCCAAGGACCCAATGAAGTCATCCTTTTGTGACAGCTCATTGAAAGTTGTCAAGCACTTAAGTATAGTATAACATATGACCACAGTGAGCTGCCGGCTGTTCCCAGGCCTGGCAGTTGGAAAGTCAGATAGAGAAAAGAAGAGGAGGTGGGGTACAGCACAGCCGGGTGTGGTGGTGTGGCCCAGGCCTTTAATCACAGCGCTCGGAGGGAGAGGAGCAGGCAGATGTCTGTGAGTTGGAGGCCATCCTGGTCTACAAAACAAGTTCCAAGACAGCCAGGGATGCTACATAGAGAAACCGTGTCTCGAAAAACCAAAATAGATAGATGATAGATAGATAGATAGATAGATAGATAGATAGATAGACAGATGATAGATAGATAGATGATAGATAGATGGATAGACAGATGATAGATAAATGACTGGTAGATAGGTAGATGATAGATAGATTGATAGATAGATAGATAGATAGATAGATAGATAGATAGATAGATAGATGCAACCTATGCTAGGGCTGTTACATAGAGAAACCCTGTCTCAAAAAACCAAAATAAATAAGTAAATAAGTATAAGTGAAACCTATCCTATTATCCACAGACCTAATTAAAAAACAAAACAAAACAAAACAACAACAACACACTACTTGTGGTCTTTTCTTTAAGTGCTAAATTTTATACAACAGGGCTTAGCAACTGCCTTTTAGTATGGTGAGCTCAAGAATCTAAAGATAGCAGTCCTGTGTCATCCCCCCCCCCACCTCATGGTACTAAGAAGCAATAGAGGAAGAAGGAAGGGAGACACTTATGACAAAGATGTGTTTTCAGGAGTCGTTGTCATCAGCACTCCAGTATGGACCACTGTGAAATGAGAGCAGCTCACTAGAAATTAATACTGAGTGACATCCAGCAAGCTATGGAGATGGAAACACAGCAAGAGAACCTGCCTGGTGGCTCCTTACTGACAAGATGAGCCCAGTGTCTCCTGTCAGAGCCGGCTGATTAACAATGAGAGGGACCCGGTCAGGACAAGGCCGGATGCCAGGGCAGAGTGGCTGACACATGCTCTCTTGCTTCTGACAACAGCTCAAACTTCTGGGGCTCCAGGAAGGAAACTGACATTTGGAAACAGCTAGAACAAAAGGCTTTCCCCTCCAACTGTTAGCACATGGGACTGAATTTTGGAAGATTATAAAAAAGAACCATTGTTCATCCTCTCCCAGGCCTTAGCAAGCATTTCATCACTTAAATATATATATAATGTAGTCTTAGCCCAAAAGCTTTGTTTGTATAAGGGTGTGTGCTGTCCATGGTGGAAAAGTTTCTGAACATTTTCCATTGTCCTTTGCGCCTCCCTCCTTTGTCCAGTCATTGGGGTCTTTGTCCATCGTAATCCTAACAGGCACTGATTCTAAGGACCAACCTTATTTGAATTTTTAAACTTCAAAGACCCTAATAATGAAGAAAAAACCAGAGTCTTTTTGGAATAGAACTAGTTGCTCTCTGAAGAGCCAAATGACTCCTTGCTTCCTTACTTAACTGATTATATATTCATTAAAAGTTTTTCAGTGGATACTATGTCAAAGATGATATATATTTAGCAAACCAACAGATAGGAGTAATTTTGTCACTAAAATGACAACATTGTTTTTGTACTGAAGTGTCTTTTCCACTTGCAGTGTTTTCCAGTTTCTGTATCTGGGACAGGTGTTGACAGCTGTTATTCTGTGGTGGGAATTTTTAGAAACACCAGCACTGTTGGGTGGACAAGTCCCTTCATCAGGAAATGGTGC